GAAATGGATTTTTTCTTCAAAATAAACAAGAAAGAAGAAACATTGCTTCAAAATGTGTGGGATACGGCTAAAGGATATTTTAGAGGGTTGGCTATAACCTATACCGTTAAAAAAAATAAAGAAAAGAAACAACAATGGTTAAAGTTGAAGGAAGAATTCAGAAAGTTAGAATCAGAATTACAAATAGATCCACAAAAAAAATACTTAAGAAACAAATGGCTCAACAGATTAAAAGGGCTAAACAGAACTTCTTTGAAAATGCCAACAAGCCGGGGAGATGGTTAGCATGTAGACTGAAAAAAGAAAAAGAGAAAAAACTGATAAACAAGCTGCAAGATACAAAAGGTGAATTACAGTTTCAAAATGATACAATTAACAAATTATCAAAGGTTATTATGAGATACTTTACAAAGCAGAGGAAATTCCAAAAGAAAAAATACAGCAGTATTTAAAAAAAGCAGATTTACCAAAAATCTCAGAGAATATTCAAAATATACTAAATGGAAAAATATCAGTGATGGAGATTATAGAGGCTATAAAAAGGCAAAAAATTGATAAGACCCCAGGTCCAGATGGATCACCTGCAGAGCTTTATAAATCATTACAAGATGTATTAAGTCCTACTTTGAAAGAACTGTGTAATGAAATACTCCTGGAGGCTAAAATACCAAATACATCGACTGAAGCCAACATTACTTTAATACCCAAAGAAGACTCTGACCTAACGCAAATAAAAAACTATAGAGTTAGACAAATATCGCTATTAAATGTAGACTATAAAATTTTCACCTCAATAATAGCAGATAGACTAAAGAAATTTTTGATCGAATTTATACATATAGACCAACATGGTTTTCTACCTAAAAGACAGATAAAAAATAATTTAAGAATGATTCTTGATGTGTTAGAGTACTATGAAATTCATCCAGGGAAACAGATGGCTTTAATATTCCTTGATGCACAGAAAACGTTTGACAATGTAAACTGGGAATTCATGTTTCAGCAACTTGCGGAAATAGACTTTGGAGAAAACTTTATAAACGTAATTAAAACAATTTATCGTAAACAAACAGCCAAAATAATTGTAAATGGAGATTTCAAAGAAAACTTTAACATTAAAAAAGGCACAAGACAGGGATGCCCACTATCTCCATTACTATTTATACTAACACTGGAAGTATTGAATAGAAACATCAGACAAGATATAGAAATTAAAGGACTGGAGATAAAAGATGAAAAATATAAACTACAAGCATTTGCAGATGACTTGGTTTTTATATTGGAAGATCCACTGGAAACAAGCACTAAACTTATGGAGAAAATAGAAAAAAATGGAGAAGTGGCAGGGTTGAAAATAAACAGAAAAGACTAAAATGCTAACAAAGAATCTAACAAAAACAAAAAATCATCTAACAAAAAAAACAAATCTTCAAATAGTTAAAAAAGTCAAATATTTGCAAGTTTATCTAACAGTAAGATGTGTAACAATAAAAGAAGATAACTATGTGAGATTGCTAAAACAAATAAAATTGGATCTGGAAAAGTGGAAAAACTTACAACTTTCAATGCTAGGGAGGATAGCAACAGTGAAAATGAATATCTTACCAAAAATACTCTTTTTATTTCAAACGATTCCTATAAGGCTGGGAAAAGCATTTTTTGATGAACTGAATACAACAATATTGAAATTTATCTGGCAAGGAAAAAAAGCTAGAATTAGACTGAAAATGCTACAAGAAGCGGAAGAAAGTGGAGGATTTGGACTGCCGGACTGGACGTTATACTACCAAGCAACTATTTTAACATGCCTTAAAGAATGGATAATGCTTAGAGATAAAAGACTATTATACCTAGAGGGGCATGACCTACAAATTGGTTGGCATGCCTTTCTGTGATATGGGAAGAATAAAACACATAGATACTTTCAAAGCCACTTTATAAGAAATGCACTTCTTTCAGAATGGGAAAAAATAAAAACAAAAATTTATATTAAGACACCTGGATGGCTTTCAACAATGGAAGCTTTCGCTTACCCAAATGTAATTAATTACAACAAAGTTGTGACTTATAAAGATATTTTGGACAATGAAGGAAAATTGAAAGACAGACAAGACTTACAAGAACAAGGTATTGATCTATCATGGTGGCCATATCTGCAAATTCAAACGAGATATGAAAAAGATGTTAAAACAATGGGATTCTATAAGGAGCAGATAGAATTTGATCAGATACTGTTAAAAACAGATGAAAAGTTGATTAAGAAACTCTATAAATTTCTGTTAAACTTAAAGATGGAGGAAGAACAAGTTAAAGAAACGATGATAATATGGGCAAAGAACTTTCGATATAATATAAAATTAGAAGACTGGCAAAAGTTATGGGAAAGAAATGTTAAATTAACTAAAGTAGTGGCATATAAAGAAAACTTATATAAAATGTTTTACAGATGGCATATGACACCAGGAGATTAGCAAAAATGTTTAAAAATACTTCAAACAAATGTTGGAAATGCAAACAAAGACCAGGTACTTACTATCATATCTGGTGGACATGCCAAAAGCAAAAAGATTTTGGGTAAAAATACATTTATGGTTGGAGAAAATGACTTAAAAAAAATAGATTTTAAGCCAGAATTATTTTTGTTAGGAATAATAGGAGCAAATTATGAGAAAGATTGTATATATTTAATTTTACATATACTAACTGCAGCAAGAATTGTATTTGCCAAACATTGGAAAAATGAAAATTTACCAACTGAAGAAGTATTAAGAAAATTTTAGAGTGTGTAGAAATGGACAGATTCTTTAAAGATAAAAGAGAAAGAAGACTCAGTGTATTTTAGAACATGGGATAATTTCTATCAATGGCTAGAAACATGAGTTAGAGAGAAAGGAATGTGATACGTAACTTTGAATATATATTAGTAAGAAGAAGACTATTGAGCGATTAATTAACATATTTATGATAATTAACTATTATCTGTTATTTCTTGTTAAACACATGAACCCAGACATTATGCTGTTTGCTAAATATTGAGAATGTTATTTGGAAAAACCCCAACCCCAACCCCAACCCTAACCCAAATCCCAACCCCAACCCCAACCCCAATCCCACCTCATTCCTAACCCTATAAAAACTAATAAAATTTATACCAAAAAAAAAGATCTGTTTATAAGTGGAGAGAGAATTCTTTTGCCTCATTTCTTAATTGAAATATATACGTTAATATTACTGGTAGCTCTCAGTAGACTTTTGCTGATTAGGACTGAATCATATATTTTTGCAACTTGATTATTACACAGGATGAGATATGGGGAAAAGTTTTTTTATTGAAGTATTGGAGAAAGTGTCAAATTATTCAGATTGTTTATATTAGTCTGGAGGAAGGAAGGAGTCATATTTTATATTTCTTCTTTTGCTTTGCTTTTCTCTTCTCTTTTTTCTCTTTTTTCACTTTTCTTTTTCCTTAATTTTTATATTTTATTTATTTTGTATTATTTTTTTATCTTTGCATTTATAAACTTTAATAAGATTATTGTAAAAATATAAAATACAATATAATAAATATTCAATGGATAATATTGAAATCTTCAAAAAATAGGAAGAAAGCTTGATAAATAAATTATTTAGCTGATTAAGTGATGCTAGAAAATTTCTTAAGACTATTTTCAGGTCCATTAATGAAGCAGAACACATATAAAATATTCATGATTGCCTTCTAACAATGAAAGTGATATTGCATTTCTTTAACAATAAGAATTCTTACACCGCCTTTGGCATAACAGAAGGCTTCCATTTTAGGGTTCTGATGGAGTACATATTCATGGAATTTTCCATTCATAAAAAGTACATGACAATTGATTTAAAAAATCTCTTTTACAGGCGGATGGCAATAAAAAGATTAATCTATGCATTGAAACTGTGCAACAATCTGAATTTGAAGGGGAAAAAGAATTTGGAGAGTGGATGGTTGTGCCTGATTCTGTTATTATATTATAATATACTGTTACTATATTATAATAATAAAGTGGTATTCCTGGAATCTCTATGGGAGTATTTCTCAACCTCAACAGTTTAAAGATGTGTGGACTTCAGTTCCCAGAATCCCTCAGCCATCAAACTGGCTGGGGAATTCTGGGAATTGAATTCCCCACATCTTAAAGTTTTTGAGGCTGAGAAACACTGCTCTGTAGTGTCTGCTCCTTAAACTGGAGGGCTGATGCTGATTAGATGGTCTTCTTCAAGACCAGTACAATTAAAGGCAACTTAAGTCTGCTGCCATCACAAACTGCAGCCAGACTGAAGGTTGTGTTATGAGGACATAGCAGAAAATCATTTGTGCTGTGGTTAAGTGCCAGTGGGGCTCACTACTATAAGTACAGGTAGTGTTTGACTTAAAACAGTTCATTTAGTAACTGTTTAATGTTACAGCAGCACTGAAAAAAGTGACTTATGACCATTTTTCACACAACCATTGCAACATCTCCCATGGTCATGTGATCAAAATTCAGACACTTGGCAACTGACTCGTCCCAGGGCGATGTGATCAACTTTTGCAACCTTCTGACAAGCAAAGTCAATGGGGAAGCCAGATTCACTTAACAACTGTGTTACTAACTTAACAGCTGTAGTGATTCACTTAACAACTGTGAAAAGAAAGGTAATAAAACAGGGCAAAACTCACTTAACAAACATTTGGGGGTAGTAAGTCGAAGACTACCTGTAATCTAAATAGGGAAGAATAGAGAGGCATGAAGGGGGATAGAAATGGAGAATCCTTGGAAAGAAAAGTTGTCTCATTCTTTGCATAGGAACATTTCTTATTTACTTTCAAGTTCTATTTACTCTTCTCTTAATGGAAAAATGTGAGATCAGTGAGTTGCAGCATGAAAAAGGGGTTGGTCCATTTTATTCCCATCCACTAAGCCGAATATTTCATTATTCCTTTGCTAGCCTCAAAGAACAAATCCCTACAACCAAAGAGATGCTTAAATACTCACTGTGGATGGAGCTTGTATAAAGTACCATCCACTCCGATGGTAGTTTTGAGGCGCTCAACTTTCCTGTTGTCACGTATCTTCTCAACAACAGCAGCCAATCCTGCTCCACAGAGCTGGGCAGCTCTTTTTGAAACACAACCACACACTTCTTTCACAATGATGCTGTCATCACAAGTCCCATCCAGCCCGAGTTGTTGCAGGATTCTTCTCACTTGCAGCAGGGCAAGGCGATCACTGTGCTCAGCCAAAATGGAACAGACCCTTTTAGATTACTCAAAACAGTACTTCTTAGAAAGAACTAGAAAGCTGCATTTCTGCTTTTTAAGAAATATTTTGCTGGTATGTTGGTTCCTTAGCACTATATTCTTCCCACCTATGACTATGGTTCCTTTTTAAACAGGATTTAGAATGATTGATCATGTGCCATCAAGTTATTTATGACACCTAGCAACCACATAGACCAGGGGTCTTCCAACTTGGCCCTTTTATGACTTGTGGGCTTCAACTCCCAGAATTCCTCAGCCAGCGTGCCTGGCTGAGGAATTCTGGGAGTTGAAGTCCACAAGTCATAAAAGGGGCAAGTTGGAAGACCCCTGACATAGACAGACGTTCTCCATGATTTAAGAAGGCACTTTGTCTGAATATTACATGCTACTCTTACCTTATGTCACAACACCCTGAAATATAACCCAAAATAATTCTTGAAACGTTTAAGATGACATTGCCATCACCAGCAGAAGAAAACATCTCCTTGTCCAGATATTCCTGAACAAGGGCTCCCAGGAGCCACAGAAAGCTAAAACCTGGAAGGCTACAGATTTAAACTCCTTTGCAAAACAGTCTGTCTGTCTGTCTGTCTGTCTCTCTCTCTCTCTCCCTCCCTCCCTCCCTCTCTCTCCCTCTCTCATAATATATTAGATGATAGATGATTTGATAGATGAGAGAGAGAGAGAGAGAGAGAGAGAGAGAGAGAGAGAGAGAGAGAGAGAGAGAGAGAGAGAGAACTTCAAGGAAATGCTCATGTATTCATCAGAAATCACCTTTCTCCCCCTATTCAAGTCAGATCCAACTTCTGGTGACCACCTGGACAGGTCAATGCAATTTTGTAGGGAACATCTGCGGAAATAGGTTTCCTATGGCTAAGAAAGTGACTGATCCAAAATCATCCCATAGACTTCTACACGTAAGGCAGGACTAGAACTCATATTTTCCTGCTCCTACTCCAACAGCTTAACCATTAGACTTGTAAGCGAAGGACAGGCAGAGCCTTGGGCAGAGTCAAGAGAGGAATCAGCTTGCAGTTGTTACGTTCCCACAAGAGTTACGTCTGTTAACTCTTATCTAATGCCAATTTATCGCTGACCATTGGTTGACTAGATTTCTGTGTATAGACGTGAGCAAGAAACTTAACGTGTAGTCTTGATTCTTTGTGTCTGAGAAGACCAAACTGGCTCTCATAACTGAGTCTTTACCTTTTTATATAAGAAAAACATATAAATAAATCATGAATCCCATTCAGCTGTTTGTTATCTCCTATGTGGTAGAGAAGTAGAAGACAGGAAATGGAGAGAAAACGCTGTTTGTGCAACACAAATCGTACCTTTCAATCTGAGACAAGTATTTTGTTTCACATATTCCTCTTCTTCTCAGAGATTCTGAAATCTGGCCTCTGAATAGAAGTCCTCTCTTTGTCAGGTCTATCAAGATCTGTCTCACTATTTCACCCAAATACATTCCACTGGTCATTTTCTCATATCTATTTAACACCAAAGAAAAAACATCTGGATTTGAATAACACCAAGCAGATTGTTCATTATTGCTATGCATAAATGGCCCTTCAAGTAGCGGGTGTAATAAAGCTTTCCCTAATCTTGTTTTCTCCAGTGTAGAATTGTTAACATTTCAGAACAACCAAAGGACACTTCTCAAACAAAGAATTGGTCAAGGACGTTTAATCTTACCTATTGCTATATTTAATATTTTAATAGTAATACTTTAATATTGCTAGTGTTATTTAACACACAGATGGTCCTTGATTTACAACCATTTGTTTAGTGACCACTCAAAGTTACAACAGCTTGGAAAAATGTGACTTATGACCAGTCATCACACAATTGTCACAGCATTCCCACAGTCCTGGGATCACTGTCCCAAGGTCATGTGATTGCCATTGTCATCCTTCCCAGCTGGCTTCTGACAATCAGAATCAATGGAGGATTCACTTAACAAAACTGTGATTCATGTCATAACACTGTGAATCACTTAATGACCATGGCAAAAAAAGGTCGTAAAATCAGGCACTACTCTCTGAAGCTTGCTTAGCAATGGAGATTCCAGTCCCATTTGTGATCATAAGTCAAGGACTACCTGTATTTTCATTAGACAATATGGAATTATTATAAAAAGCTGCAATACAATAATTACAATCATTACTATGTTGCAGATTACTATACTCAAGAGATTCTGTACTATTTTATTCTAACATGAATTTTTGGAGAATTTTTAAAATTATATTTCAAAATACAATGTACTCCACACTGTAAATGAGAGGGCAGTCATTTACATAAGACAAGGATTTTAATTACGGCATGTTTGTTCAGGAATGTCCACACTGGGGGAAAAATAGTCAGAGTGACCCAAGTTGTCTCAAGACACAAACCCCACCCCTTCTTTTTGCCCATTGCTACATCACAACACATTGTACATCACAAAGCAGGATGCCACTGCAACACTCCTTTTATCAGTGAGACCTTGCAGGTGCCATTGTGATTGTTGTTACATTTTTATAATGCTGTAAGAAACATTAGATGCATTGATGCAATATCCACTTTAAGGATGTTAGCTCACAATATACCTTTTAATCTTCCTAGTTTTTTTCTTTATTATGTCTTTGAATAAAAAAACAAAACTGTATTTTTCCTTCTTCTGCTCCAATATCTGGAAATTCATCTGAGCATTAACTCCAAACTTCCAGCTGGAGGAGACAGATTATATTTCTAATATTTTGCATTGCCTGCTCTACAGCAGAAGAGACTGAGTTCTGGAGAAAACCCATAATCTTGGTTGTGGCACCACAACATCTACCCTTACTTTTGTTTCCCAGGATTCAGAGACCCCGAGTCCACCTCTTTATCGTATTTTGTCCTGAAATTATCAATGCAGCCATTGTCACCAAATCCTCCCCACTCTGTGTTGATGCACATTCTGCCTGCATCTCCTTCTATAATTTCTATGTGCTTCATTTCTTCTATATAGCACACATTACTGCCTGTTCCTGAAAGACAGAAAGAAAAAGAGGCTTTAAAAGAGCAAAAAGTTCTTATTTGGAAAAAATTCAGAGAAGAGCAACTAAGATGATCAAAGGCCTGGAGACCAAAACATATGAAAAATGGCTGCAGAACTTGGGTTTGGCTAGTCTAAACAAAAGAAGAAATAGGGGAGACATCAGCAGTATTCCAGTATTTGAGGGGCTGCCACAAGGCAGATGGGATCAGGTTGTTCACCAGAGCACCAGAGGGAAGGACAAGAAACAATGATTGGAAACTGATCAAAGAGAGAAGCAACCTGGAATTAAGGAGAAACTTCCTGACAGTGAGGACAATCCATCAGTGGAACAGCTTACCACCAGAAATCGTGGGCGCTCCATCACTGGAAATTTTTAAGAAGAGACTGGACAATCACCTGTCTGAGATGATATAGGTTCTCCTACTTGAAAGGGGATTGAACTAGAAGACCTCCAAGGTCCCTTCCAGTTCTATTCTATTCTATTCTATTCTATTCTATTCTATTCTATTCTATTCTATTCTATTCTATTCTATTCTATTCTATTCTATTCTATTCTTCTCCACGGAAGTTCAAATGTAGGAAATGGAAAACCATAGCTGTTGGGCTGAAAAAATCCAGACAATCTTAAGATGGTATCAGCAAGATCATATATATATATTATATCTATATATATATAAAAATAAAAATGTAAATGTTCGTTTGTTCAAAATCTTAAATCTCCGAAAGTTCTTCACCGGTTGCTTTGAAATTTTGATACAATGTTGCATTCGAATACGCGCGTGTTTTTATATACCTACTATTACATAGATGTCACACCTGTGACAGGTAAAAACATGCTTTTTTGAAAAACAGCGCCATCTGTTGGATGTAAAAGCAACACATGCTACAGCAACATTAACCAGACTGAGCCACAGCAACGCGTGGCCGGAAAAGTACAAGCCAAAGCCGGGGTAAATCAACATTTTGTACCATTTTCTTCTTTTACAGGCCATCAGTGAAAATTAGCACCATCCCAGTTATCTACTGTACCTTCCTGTTGCTCAGGGATGTTAAAACACAATGCAAAAACCTGTGCTATTGTCTGCTGTATATTTCCCTCATTTTACCTGCAATGAGGCCAATTTCACAATGGGGGTCTTCATAACCGCACGTCATCATTGTCCCAACAGTGTCATTTACCACCGCTACGATATCCAAATCAAACTCCTGAAACAAAAATTGAGTGAGGGGTAGCTACTGTTATAATGTAGCATGTCTTAGCACACTGGCTGAGGAGTTCTGGGAGTTAAAGTCCACAAGTCATAAAAGGGCCAAGTTTGAAGGCCCCTGCCTTAGGGTTACATGTACTTGCAAAAATGCTCCACCTAACAATGACCTGATTTGAATAATCATTTAAATCACTGGTTGGACACTTACATTCTTCTGCCTTGCTGTATTTCACTTTAGCAACCGGTAAACAAAAGTGTGCATAACATTGAAACAGCCCCTGAAAAATCTCACCAGTTATAAATGTAAAATAAGTTCAGTTCAGCACATACTGGTTATAATAGCAAAGCCAGCTGGAGAAACACATTCCAGCCTTAACCCCTCCATTCTTGGCTAACCGGTTTTGATGGAGCAAGTGTGAAAAAGATGCACAACTCACTCTGGCTAAGCTTCCTCTTATCATAGGGCTCCATCGCTGAGCAAAACCACTCTTCAGACCTTCTACATTTGTTGTTGTTGTTAATTGCAAAGTCGTGTCCGACCCATCGCGACCCCATGAACGTTCCTCCATGTCTTCCTGTCCTCTATCATCTTCTGGAGTCCATTTAAGTTCACGCCTACTGCTTCAGTGACTCCATCCAGCCTACATTAATTCTACATTAGGGGTCTTCAAACTTGGCCCTTTTATAACTTGTGGACTTCAACTCCCAGAATTCCTCAGCCAGTGTGCCTGGCTGAGGAATTCTGGGAGATGAAGTCCACAAGTCATAAAAGGGCCAAGTTTGAAGACCCCTGTTCTACATCAGTGTTATTCAAACCTGGCAACTTTAAGATGCGTGGGCTTCAAATTCCACAATTTTCCAGCAGCCTGGGGAATTCTGGGAGTTGAAGTCCACTCATCTTAAAAGTTGCCAAATGTGAAAAACACTGTTATACATCAACACTGGTTCATATAAAGCAAAGTGAGCAACTTGTTACCGGATAGCTGCTCAGGGATTTTGGGAGGAAAAAAAATGCATGTTTACAAATCTTTGGGGCCAATGCTAGCTTAAACCTCAAGATAGTGGAAAGAGGGGTTGTTTTATTTTAAAATAATCAATTGAGTAATAAACTGGCATAAACCATTTGCATAATGAGAAGGAAATCTGCATTTTTAGATTACGTTGGCTGGGTTCTCAGCAACCTGTTATATATTTTTATCGTTACTGCCAATTCTCAGTTATCCTTTTGGTCAAAAGTTTGGAAGAAATCAAGAAAATTGCCCAGCAGTCTTTGACAGTGAATCTTTCTATCAGTTTATTGTCCATTTGCTCTAACACTTATATGTTGCTGGAATAGATGGAACTGATTCAATTCATGGACGTTCCATACAAGTAGCCTTTGACTTACGACCACAATTGAGCCCAAGATTTCTATTGCTAAGCAAGACAGTTGTTAAATGAGTTTAATATATGGATGTCCACCACCTTAAGCTTAGCTGTTCATTCATTTAAAATTATGCTATAATACCTCCCCCCCAAAAAAAGAAACCTGCTCAGGGTTTAAAGGTTCATTCTGGCCAGAACCTCACAACTACTTTTTCTTCAGAATAATGTACTGTAATCAGATTAAAGAAGTTATTTTTTTTAAAGAAAAAAAATGAGGGAGCAATATAATGTGTGGTTGCTGTGTCAGTACTTCTACCAGTGAAGCACCTGTTCAGGAGTATTCACAAGGATGAGGTAAAAAAGTCACCCTACATCTATTTATTAAAGCCTCCATCTTTTTTCAGATTTCTATTCATGGCTAAAAAATAAGCCCCACAGTCATTTTAATGAGGCCACTGCTTAAAGCAGGGGTCTTCAAACTTGGCCCTTTTATGACTTGTGGACTTCAACTCCCAGAATTCCTCAACCAGGCATGCCTGGCTGAGGAATTCTGGGAGTTGAAGTCCACAAGTCATAAAAGGGCCAAGTTTGAAGACCCCTGGCTTAAACCAACTATCTCATTTTTCTCACCCAGATCAAAGATGAACTGTTTTAATGAACTGGAGTGCAATTTGGGGTCCCCGGAAATTCTTAAAGAGTTTCTCCTGAATCATTTTCCAAGTGTAAAAGACCCCATGATTTCTACATTTATCTTTTTTTTTATTTAACACATTTTATTAGTTTTTTTAATTTTTACATCAAAGTGCTGAGGGAAACACCGTGGTGAAAGGGTAATCAATCATAGCAAAACAAGTCATATATATATATAAAACTAAAATTAATACCTTAAAAAATTCCCCCCTCTATTTCCCTCACATGATATAACAAATTTAGTTTAATCTATTTCTTCTTAAAATTCAATCAATCCACAGAATCATCCCTACTATTACATCTAAATAAATCTGTCCTGCTTTTTAGCTCCACTAATTTCAATTAACATATTCCAATTAATCTTAAACGAACATATTAATAAAACTTTGGGTATCCCTTCTACAACGCACATAATATTGCAAGAATAACATTCTAATATTTTCACATATATTCCATCTCTTAATTTAATACATCATTAATTAATACTCTTTCTTCTCTTATCATAGATCTCTCTAATTCTTCTACTATTACAAAATAGTTTTCTATATAAACAGAGTAAAAAAAAAAAAAGAATCATTTCGACCTGTTAAGTAAAATTTAAATCTCAACCAAATTAACTATCGTATCTAAGACAAACTTATTATTACACCAATTATCTTACTGCTTTCATTTACTCAATTAGATTGTCAAATCAGTCCAAATCTCTAAATCTCTTTTTGACCCAATAATTAAGATTTTAAATCACATTTTTAAATCTAACTCTGGCTTTTTTTCTATACCAAGCTGGTTTCCGTAATATCGCATCTATGTCATCAAACCTCAGTATTTGAGTAGTAGTGCTTATCAACAAATCGATCTGATCAAAATTCTCTTCCCCTTCTTCCAGTATCATGTAGGCAATATAGTCCATTTTATTCCATATTATGATTTCAGCTTGATTACCCAAGTTGTCATAACTTTCAATCGATCGCGTCTAGCTGTCAATTCCTGTTGGTTTTAGCAATGGGAGTACTTCACTTATAGTCATTTTTGGATCTTCAAAGTTCTCCATCGTTTGTACATAGACTTGTGAAATATCCTCCTCTGTAGTAGTTAGTTGATTTATAAAGTAGTCATTTAAAGTCTCAATCTGGGATTTTGGGTCCAGAATTTTTCTAAAATTCAATTGATCAGTGGATTCTTCCATCTCAAATTGTGTGCACTGTTGCATATAAGCTTTTTCTTGGCCTGTAGATTGGTCTTTTAAAATTTGGGGCTCAGCTTGTAATTCTACAAGATAGTCTTTAGTTTTTCTCCATGACTTCATCTCCTCTGTCATTTCCAATATTTTTTCCAATATCAGCTCATAGTCAAGCTGTGGGTAAAAGTCTACTATTTCCATAGTAAAAGAGTCTTTTAATCTTTTTGTGGAAACTATATTTATTAAGAGTCCATATACATCCGCAATTTTGAAAATCACAAACACAACCCACAGCTGTTTCCAAGCCTTTATCTTTCCTTTTTGTTAATTTCTGAAGGTCAAAACCATCTTCAAACACCAACGAAGAGACATTACAATTGCAGTAAATATTTTCACCACAAGATGTCCTCAGCGAGCTATAGAAAGTTTTTTCTTTGCACATTAAAAGCCTTTATCTCGTTAAGAATGAAGAAGAAAGAGACAGAAAAAAGCAAATATCTTCAGTATAGTAAGTAAGATAATGCTCTATATTACAAATCTTTCCAGGGATGCCCAATATCCAAAAAGTTCAAAGTATAATAAGTGCTATTCTGTAATTTTGTTTAAAGTATTTTTTCCCCCAAACAGACAGACACCGCTTTCTTAGAACAGGGAAGTCATCCAAAAAGCAAGCTCTTTGCAGGAAAAATAGGTGGGAATAGGTGGGGGAGGGAAAAGTCTCACCCAGATTTCTCCGCGGTGGTTTCTTCACGCTTTGCTGTTCTTTTGACTTTGGCTGGTGCAGCTGAGTGGTTGGCCATTTTACTGGCCGATCTTTACTCCGTCAGCCTTAAGGAGTCAGCTGGGGCCATGGGAGAAGCTGCCGCTTTCCCGCAGTCACCAGCAAGCCCCCTCCTCGGTGGTCGCCCCTCCAGGGCAACTTTCAACCCCCTTCGGGGTCTACCGGCGAAGGAAACACAGCCGGTGGGGAGACAAGTCTCTTCCACATGACCGGAGTCGCTGCGAACCGGAACTGGAAGTCAATTTCTACATTTATCTTAATAATTCTGAATGAAATCAATAGGAAGATTGCAGTAAATAGTGGCTTCTGCTCAACCCTAGTGGGAGGGATCTAGCTCAAAAGAGATGCAGGATACTTACATTTCTCCGTTTTATCGCTTCCCTTAGCAAGTCAACAACATCCTCCCCTTCGCAATTGGTTGCCTTGAAACCTTTTGTCCATCCAACAAGAGCGCCCTGGAAAGTAAAAGTAGTAATACAAAAAAGACAATTAAAAAGTGTTTACTGAAGGGAGAGAAAAGAATTGAATCACCCAAACTCAAAACTGGCTTTACATTTTTAGGAAAGACTCATTTCAAACTACATTTTCAAAGAATGTTTAAATCAGGGGCATCCAACCAGTGGCAATCTTAAGACCTGTGGACCAACTCCCAGAATTCCTCAGCCAGCCTGGCTCGCTAGGGAATTCTGGGAGTTGAAATCCACATGACTTAAAGTTGCTAAGGTTGGACACCCCTGATTTAAACAATGTCCAAATTTACCTTCTGATAGAAAATGCTATTTCTTGGAAGAGAGAGCAGGAGGATTATGCTGTTCCAACTTTCTTTTGATGTTGAAATTGACTTTTTGCACAGAACAAAGAATAGAATAATATAGAATAGAATAATAACTTTATTATTAGTCCAATTTTTAGAAACTAGTCTAGCAAACAACACTAAACCTGTGTTTAAAAGTAGACCCAGTGTTCTTTCAAAAGAGTGCTAAGCCCATGTTTATAAGAAGCCCACCTTGACCTGACAAATGTTTTGGAAAGCAATGATCAGTTATTTTTATCTGTAGATGCTTCTCCAACAGCCAGTTTAATGGAGTTTCCTGCAGCCAAAACTGAAATAACACGAAGGGCAAAGCCTAGTAATCACTAGCCATTGAAAACTGCACAAATCCTACCTAAAGCATGTGACTGTAGCAGGAATTGCGGCAGGAGAAGAGGGAGCACATGAAAAGTGAAACAGCTAAGGATGACTTTAAGTTCAACCCAAAGTATAAGTAGTTCTTAATTCATGATCATAATTGGGGCTGGAACCTATGTCACTAAGCAATGTAGTGATTAGGTGAATGGTGCCCAATTTTACACTTTTTGCTGCAGTGAATCTGGCTTTCCCCACTGACTTTGCTCATCAGAATCCCCCTGGGAAGGTTGCAAATGGTGATCACATGATCCTGGAATGCTGCATCTCTAATACATACATGTTGGTTGCCAAATGCCCAAAATGCGGTCCCAAGACTGCGGGAACACTGTCCTAAGTGCCAGCATCAGTCATAAGCCACTTTTTTCAGCACTATTGTAACTTCAAATGGACGCTGAATGAATGGTCATAAATCAGGGACTACCTGTATAGACTTGGGGATGGGCAAAGGCAAGATTCTGAGAATATGGGAAACAAAGTTGATTCCCAGGACATGTCCATGCTGTGCTCAGGAAGACATGGGTCATCAGTTCCCACATAATCATGCCTTATTCAAACAAAAATCAAACAAGAATGCCTGTTACCCTCATACACTCAGCACTGATTTTATGCACTCTCTCCTAATGCTGGGGCTCAGGATCTATTAAGACTCTGCTAGAGATAACCGAACAGGAATGGAAGCATAACATCTATTAAAAGGCATGTTCTTGTGCAACATTGAGCAGTTATTAAACCACATTCAGAGCAGAAGCCAATCAATGTGGAAAATCCCAGCCTTCATACCTTATCAATACTTGTTTGCCTGCAGGGGAAAGAAAAAGTAAAACCAAGGGGGAGCCGGGCACCTTTTAGTCCCATGTATTCCAAAAACTCCGCAATGCATTGGACAATGTGATCAAATAACTGAAAGAAAAAAAAAATAATTAAAGGCAGCACTTAATACCAGTGTTTTAAATACATGTGGATCAGCAAGGAGAATTGTTCAGAGTCCTGCTAGAGTGGAATAGAATATACATCCCAGGAATAAATAGTTAAGGATTAACTTTTACCTCCTCTCCTGTTCCTTGCATAATTTCCAAAGGAATTGCAAATATTTTATTGTATATCCGAACCGATTTGTTTCTTCCGCTTCTGATTTTGACAAGCAAAACTCTGAAATTTGTTCCTCCAAGATCAAGAGCTAAGTATTTCCCCTTTTCTGCAAAAGAAAAATAAATTTTTACTAAAATCCTTCTCAATTGCTTAGAATATTCCTCTCCAGCTTACAGACTACAAAACATCTCAAAAATGCCTTTTGCCTGTCTAAAATATACTGAATTCTAGGCAAGTTTGCTCCCAAGTAATTATATTCAGATGGAGGTAATTCATATTATGATATACATGTATTCTGCGCCTTATGACTACAATTGAGTCCAAAATTTTCATTGTTAAGCAACATAATTGTTAAGTCCCCCATTCTGCAACCTTTCTTGCCATAGTTATTAAGTGAATCCTTGCAGGTACTAAGTTAGTAATACAGTTGTTAAGCGAATCCGGCTTCCCCATTGACTTTGCTTGTCAGAAGGTTGCAAAAGGGATCACATGACTCCGGGATACTGCGACCCTGATAAGTACATGCCAGTTGCCAACCGTCCAAATTTTGATCATGTGACCACAGGGATACTGCAATGGTTGTAAGTGTGTTAATGGTCGTAAGTCACTTTTTTCAGTGGTGTTGTAACTTTGAACAGTCACTAAATGAATGGTTGTAAGGACTACCTGTAGTTCCAATCCTTGACCATTCCTTGACCATTCTCCAGATCTTTCCAGAAAGCTAAAATTTAGGGTACATTAGAAACATCTAAACTTTCTATTCATGATTAATAGTGTTATAGCACATCTAGACCAAAGATACTTCATCTTTTTTATGCAAAATGCTGGGTCAATCTCCATTCAGTGGTGGGATTCAGCCAGTTCGCACCGGTTCGGTAGAACCAATAGCTAAATTTTGCTGCATTCAGAGAACCGTCTGGCTTCCAGAAGTCCAGTCTAGGCCTTGGAGGCCTGGAGGAGGACTCCCAGGCCTAGAACAGCCCGCTGGAAGTGTGTGGATGCCACTTCCAGAAGTCTGTTCTAGGCCTCGGAGGTCTGGAGGAGGCCTCCCAGGCCTAGAACGGCCCGCCAGAAGTGCATGGATACTACTTCCGGAAGTCCATTCTAGGCCTCAGAGGCCCAGGCCTGCATCGAATAAGAGAACTGGATGTTCAGGTATTTGGATTCCACCACTGTCTCCATTTATAACTTATATATTTTAGTATCTGGGGAAATATGCACTGAAATCAAAAATGCATTTTTTTCAAAAACAATGAAACTTGCACCATCAGAAAGATCAGCAGAAAGTTAGACTTACAGCGTTTTGAGAATGCGATATATGTGTACAATCCACCTTCCTTAAATCTCTTAAACCAGAGAGATACAGACATTATATTATGTCGTGCCCTTGTGTATCAGATTTTCATAACTTCTCTTCCTCCCCAACATTTTTGAATACCCATCCCTCTCTATGGACACACTTGGCATGTGGTAGGCTGCCTAGAAGATAGTTAACCAGTTATTAATTCCTCCTGATTTTATCACTTTTTTTCAGATTTTTGTAAATCCTCTTGACCTCCCCAAAGTAGGCAGCCTACAAAGTTGTGAGAAAGATGAGGAGGTACCTGTGCCATCCGGTGTGCCACAAACAAACGTTGGCAACATTTTCACAGTGGCTGTCGGGTGGGTTTCTTTCTTCAGGCCGTACTCCAGTTCTCTCCTCATTTTGTTTCTTACCTCGAGGAGATTCTCTTGGGTTAATTTGAAAAGGGCCAAGACCTCGTCAATCTGCTTCCGCTGAGACAGCAGCCTATAGGCCACAGCTGTCACCATGGCAGCCCCCTTCCCACTTCCGCTCTCCGAAAGCAGAAATCGGACATCACAGTTGGGCACCAACTGTCGGACTACCTTATGGAGACGCTTGGCATACCTACAAGGGAGACCAAGGAGATGGCTGCAGTTGTTCTGCCGAATTTACACCTTGTAATGCAACCACTGCACAACACCAGCAGCTAACACCATTCACAGATGTCAGGTATTTTTTGTTAAGGTGATAAAAGCGGTGTCACAATAAATCCAATCCTTCTGGTTAGTTGGGACAGAAGACCCTGCCCTCCCTACAGAGGCAGGATAGGGAGGGAGATCCGAAGGGCGCTTCCTCCTTCTATCCTGAGGCAGCTTTGCAGGTCAATCCCTGCTTGTCTGATGGGATCACTGCCTTCCCCCACAAGATAGAAAGGGGCTGCCATCCCATAGGTCCCCCATGCATTTTCTAAGGCACCAGAAGACTTTCTTATTTAACCAGTTTTTGAAAACCAGGCTGAACTTTAAGTAACAAAAACATACTGAAGGAATTCAGCAAAAAAAAACCCTAACCCTAACCATTTCCCAAATCTAAGGATAGAAACACACGCACAAACACACAATATGAAGCAAGTAGACACAAGAACATATCATTGTCAGAATCCAGTTATATTTCCTTTCTATCTATCTTCTGTGATCTAAAACCACTTCTTACCCTTCCCTAGATCCTGCCATACTCCCAAAGGGAAGGGAGGATATGCATGCGGGTTTATTACTTTCACTTCCTCTATTCACTACAAAGTAACCTTTTGTTTATTCACCTTTGTGTCTGCTAACCATTACAATGTAACAAATTGCCTCCTATGCTATGCACCCCTCTGAACTTCTCCTCCCAAACCGGGCAGCTAGAAAAAAGGGGTGGAAGAGGTACAAATCTCCGGGATCTGGTTTATTTCTCCGTCAGCAGAATAAGGTGTGAAGAGCTGTTGAATGATCGTGCACAATGATGCCGGATTGATGTTATCTTTCCTGGATTTAACACCTGGGGATTTGCCGGTCTGAACCGCCCGGAAGAACTGTGGGGTGGGGTTTGCTTAGGGACACTTTAAAACATTGATCCTGTCTATTATGCCCACTATCAACTACTCTTAATAAAAGTTCCTGTTGGAAGAGATTGTTTCCAAGAGTTCTGCTTTGTTAAGATGTGGGTTGAAGTGGGTCCTTACAATCATCCTCAACTTACAATCATAATATAATGGAATGTAGCCATTATAGTTGTAAGATGTGATGGTCATAAAGCAGGTTATCATGTGATTGGACCCAGTTTTATGACCTTCTTTGCAATGCTTGTTAAACAGATACTGCAGTCATTAAGCAAATTCATTGTTAACATCATGTGATTGGGGGGTGCTGGCCACCAGAACTTTGGAACTTAATTGTAAGGAGCTTTTGAGAGGGACCGGCATAACTTTGAATGGTTTCTAGGCAATTGATATAAGTCGAAGACTACCCGTAAACAAAATTGTTCTGCAGCAGCACTACCCACCAAGGAGCAGATCCACAAACTTGGGGATCCTCCAGGACCTGCTGCTCTCCCAGCTTCAGCCGATGCACCAGTTGCAGTGCTACTTGGGGTGGGAGGATTTTGCCCCAATGACTCACACTCTTGTCCCCACCCACTCCAGCATCTGCAACATGTTTTACATGAGGGTGCCTTAGAAGAGTACTTGAAAGCTATAGTTGTGGCTATAGCCCAGTGGCCCATGCGCTGACCTGTGTTTGAATAGAATAGAGCTGGAAGGGACCTTGGAGATCTTCTAGTCCAGCCCCCTGCTCAAGCAGGAGAACCTATACCATCTCAGACAAGTGACTGTCTAGCCTCTTAAAAATCTCCAGTGATGGAGCATCCACGATTTCTGGAGGCAAGCTGTTCCACTGGTTAATTGTCCTCACTGTCAAGAAGTTTCTCCTTAATTCCAGTTGCTTCGCTCTTTGGTCAGTTTCCAACCATTGTTTCTCGTCCTGCCCTCTGGTGCTTTGCTGAATAATGTGACCCCCCTCTTCTTTGTGGCAGCCCCTCAAATACTGGAATACTGCTATCATGTCTCCCCTATTTCTTCTTTTCTTTAGACTAGCCAAACCCAAGTCCTGCAGCCATTCTTTGTATGTTTTAGTCTCCAGGCCTTGGATCATTTTAGTTGCTCTTCTCTGAACTTTTTCCAAACTCTCAACATCTTTTTTGTGATATGGCGATCAAAATTGGCTGCAGTATTCCAGGTGTTGGTTGGCCAAAACCCATGGCGTTGTTGCTGTGGGCCCTACACTGGCTGTTGGGGTACCATTTAAAGTGCTGATGTTAGCCTAGAAAGCCTTACATGGCCTGGCACCTCATTAGCTACAGCTCACATTCTCCTGTTGGAGTAGGCCCAAACAGCTTGATCTACCTAGGAGAAGCTGCTGGTGGTGCTCCACTATAGGGAGGTGAGAGGGGTCAAGGTCCTGCAATGGCCCTTTCTGGTGGCTGAGACTGTCCTGTGGAAGAGTCTTTCACCAAACATCCAGTTGGCTTCTATCTGGACTCTTTTCAGAAGGAGCTCAAATGGGGACTCTTCCCGGGGGGGGGGGCAATTGGACCTTGATTGAATCTTACTTCAGTTATCATTGGGTTTCGTTAATTTTATTTTATTCTGTATTTATTTCATTCTACATTATTTGAGGTTTGTGCCACTTTTATTTATTTATATTTTACTGTATGTTGTTTTCTCTTGTAAAATCTATGACATTTGTAGTCTAATTCCGGAGACAACTGAGAGTGACAGAGACAGAGACTCAGATGAACTACTTCATTTTTGAAATATATTTTTACTAGACAGGATGTGGACTTGAATGAAATCTCAGTGGCTGATTCTACACAAGAAGAAAGATTAGTAAGCTGCCCAGAGTTGCCTTGAATTGTGAGATGGCTGAAATATAAATTTAATAAGCAAGCAAACAAACAAATAAATAAATGAGGCATATTCAACAAAGCTCAGAATTGGATCTCTTCCTCCATCCAATAGCAATTCTTCTAGCTTCCTAAATTTTTTAGGATCCAAAAGTCAGACAATGGGATATCCTCCCCACCCACCCCTCAGTTCCCCATACCCTATTTTTCAAGAACTGTGGAATCCATCCCATATGAAAAAGATCTTCAATGGCTGGAAACTGATCAAGGAGAGAACAACCTGGAATTAAGGAGAAACTTCCTGACAGTGAGGACAATCAACCAGTGGAACAGCTTGCCTCAGAAATCGTGGGCGCTCCATCACTGGACATTTTAAAGAAAAGACTAGACAATCACTTGTCTGAGATTGTATAGGTTCTCCTGCTTGAGCAGGGGGCTGGACTAGAAGACCTCCAAGGTTCCTTCCAGCTTCTATTCTATTCTATTCTATTCTATTTCTCTGCAGAAACTTAAATCTAGGTTTGGCTGAAAGTTAGTGCTTTTGCTGAGTCAGAATTATGCTTCATTTAATCCTATTTTCTGCCTCAATAGACAAATATTAATCAGCTGAGCAAACTAAACACAGTTTGCTCTTGTTTCAATCTATTACTTGGTAACCAGAGACAAGGAACATTTGCAGACCACTAGGCTGTCTGATTCCAAAGCCTTCACAATGCATCTTAAATCACAATTGGGTGGTGTTATTTTTCATCACTTTTTTTAGACCTAATGGATAGCAAAGACTATAGTCATAGGCAAGTCTGTACACTATTTTATAGACAGAGAGTGTAGGCATCAACATTCAAGCCTCTCTCTTGATGTCTCCAATCTAGCCAATATTTATTAATGCAAAAATTATATATAAAATAAATTATTTGGGGGGTAAGCAATGATAAGCAAAATGCATAAAATAAGGAGAGCAAGCCAAGGAAATGTGGCATGTGATAAGTAAGTATCATCAGATCTACATCAGTGTTTTTCAAACTTAACAACTTGGGTAGACTTCAGCTCCCAGAATTCCTCAGCCAGCACTCTGCGAGTTGATGTCCACCCATCTTAAAACTGCCAAATTTAGAAAAGATTTATCTTAATGTACCAATACTATTTACCATGCCCCTCCTTGCCTTCTGATTCTTGCAAGCCATCTTCACCTCCACCACACTTATATACTGCTTTCCTGCCATCTCCCTCTCAAAGGAGATCTTGGTTAGTATCACTATATCTGCCTATCTTTAAACCTGTGTACAGATCATTAGACTGAAGTGCAGCACACAGTTCAGCCAGCCAATCGATCCTCTGACTCACTGGAAGAAGGAAGAATTGTCCATGGCTCTCCTGCTCCACACTCTTAACATCTGACTTACTGTGGATGGGTCTTGTACAGGGTCCCATCAATTCCAACCGTGGTTCGGAGCCTCGCCAGTTTCTTATTTTCACGAAGCCGTGTCAGGATTGCTGCTAAGGCCATGGCGCAGAGGTTGGCCGAGCGAAATGAAACAATTGTGCAAACGTGCTGGACAGCAATGCAATCCTCTTCGGAGGGATCCAGGCCCAGTTCCCTCAGAATTTCTTTCGTGTTGCTCAGGCCTTCTTTATTCCTGGTTCCCAACCAAGAAATTAGGAAAATGGCATTTCAGTTATGGGAAAGGATAAAGTGAGTTCTTAAAAGTTGAGGATGCAGACTGTGAATTACAAATTTAGAGCTCTAAAGCTAAAAGATTCTGGTTAAGAATACATTCATGGTTAGAGAAAATGACGAAAAAACATATAGAGTTTAAGCCAGAACTATCTTTGTTAGGCATAATTGTAGGAAATTATGAGAAAGAGTGTATATATTTAATTTTACATATATTAACTGCAGCAAGAATTGTATTCGCTCAACATTGGAAAAATGAAGAGCTACCAACGGAGGAAGAGTTAATTAAAAAAATCTTACAGTGTGCAGAAATGGATAGATTGACATTGAAAATGAAAGAGAAAGAAGACTCAGTTTATTTTAGAACATGGGACACCTTTTATCATTGGCTAGAAAAACGAGATAGAGAGAAAGGAACTTAATATGTATTAGCAAGCTAGATGTTGGAATCCAGACAATATGTTGCTGACAAAATATTAAGCATATATATATATATATATATTTGTTTTCTGAGGTTTTCGCGGGTGTTTGTATGTAGGTCTTTGGTTATTCGGGTTTTCTCCCATGTAAAATTAGAAGTGTCTTGGCGACGTTTCGACGAAGTCACATTCGTCATCTTCAGGCTGGTGTTTTCAGCTTCGTGCTTCTAGGAGTAGTGTGTGATCGCAGCTGTTTCTTCCTTTTAACTGCCAGTGGGGTTTGATCTGATTGGGTGGGAGCTTGGCTGTGTTATGATTGGGTGGAGGTGTGTTCTGATTGGTTAAGGAGCTTGGCTGTGCTCTGATTGGATGGGGGGTTGGCTGTGCTCTGATTGGATGGGGGAGTGTTCTGTTTGGGTGGGGGCTTTGTTGTGCTCGGGTTAGTCTGAATTGCAGGGGGATTTGAGATGGTGAGCTTCGTTGCTGTTGTTTGGCTTCGTGTTCGTGTTCGTGCCACATCTTTATGATGGGTGTCAGTTTGCTTCATGTATGGATTGGAGGGGTTTAAAGTGGCTAATGATGCAGCTGTGGACTGGCTTCTAGTTTGTGATCGTGCCTCATCATCTGTGTGGGTTTGGGTTTGCTTTTTGCGTGGATGTGTGGTGGTGACATCCTGTGTGGTTTTCGTGAGTGTGGGTCTGGTGTCATTCTTTGTGTTAGGAACTCGTTTGCCAATAAGGGCGGGTTTCCAAATGGCTGGTAGGCGGGAGGTATCATCTCGTTTATTCATGCTGTGTGGGCGTTTTTCTNAAAAAAAAAAAAAAAAAAAAGAAGTTTCTCCTTAATTCCAGTTGCTTCGCTCTTTGGTCAGTTTCCAACCATTGTTTCTCGTCCTGCCCTCTGGTGCTTTGCTGAATAACGTGACCCCCCTCTTCTTTGTGGCAGCCCCTCAAATACTGGAATACTGCTATATGTCTCCCCTATTTCTTCTTTTCTTTAGACTAGCCAAACCCAAGTCCTGCAACCATTCTTCGTATGTTTTAGTCTCCAGGCCTTGGATCATTTTAGTTGCTCTTCTCAGAACTTTTTCCAAACTCTCAACATCTTTTTTGTGATATGGTGACCAAAACTGGCTGCAGTATTCCAGGTGTTGGTTGGCAAAACCCATGGCGTTGTTGCTGTTGGCCCTACACTGCTGATGTTAGCCTAGAAAGCCTTACATGGCCTGGCACCTCATTAGCTACAGCTCACATTCTCCTGTTGGAGTAGGCCCAAACAGCTTGATCTACCTAGGAGAAGCTGCTGGTGGTGCTCCGCTATAGGGAGGTGAGAGGGGTCAAGGTCCTGCAATGGCCCTTTCTGGTGGCTGAGACTGTCCTGTGGAAGAGTCTTTCACCAAACATCCAGTTGGCTTCTATCTGGACTCTTTTCAGAAGGAGCTCAAATGGGGACTCTTCCCGGGGGGGGGGGGCAATTGGACCTTGATTGAATCTTACTTCAGTTATCATTGGGTTTCGTTAATTTTATTTTATTCTGTATTTATTTCATTCTACATTATTTGAGGTTTGTGCAACTTTTATTTATTTATGTACTTTTACTGTACGTTGTTTTCTCTTGTAAAATCTATGACATTTGTAGTCTAATTCCGGAGACAACTGAGAGTGACAGAGACAGAGAGAGACTCAGATGAACTACTTCATTTTTGAAATATATTCTTACTAGACAGGATGTGGACTTGAATGAAATCTCAGTGGCTGATTCTACACAAGAAGAAAGATTAGTAAGCTGCCCAGAGTTGCCTTGAATTGTAAGATGGCTGAAATATAAATTTAATAAAGCAAGCAAACAAACAAATAAATAAATGAGGCATATTCAACAAAGCTCAGAATTGGATCTCTTCCTCCATCCAATAGCAATTCTTCTAGCTTCCTAAATTTTTTAGGATCCAAAAGTCAGACAATGGGATATCCTCCCCACCCACCCCTCAGTTTCCCATACCCTATTTTTCAAGAACTGTGGAATCCACCCCATATGAAAAAGATCTTCAATGGCTGGAAACTGATCAAGGAGAGAACAACCTGGAATTAAGGAGAAACTTCCTGACAGTGAGGACAATCAACCAGTGGAACAGCTTGCCTCCAGAAATCGTGGGTGCTCCATCACTGGACATTTTAAAGAAAAGACTAGACAATCACTTGTCTGAGATTGTATAGGTTCTCCTGCTTGAGCAGGGGGCTGGACTAGAAGACCTCCAAGGTTCCTTCCAGCTTCTATTCTATTCTATTCTATTCTATTCTATTCTATTCTATTCTATTCTATTCTATTCTATTCTATTCTATTCTATTTCTCTGCAGAAACTTAAATCTAGGTTTGGCTGAAAGTTAGTGCTTTTGCTGAGTCAGAATTATGCTTCATTTAATCCTACTTTCTGCCTCAATAGACAAATATTAATCAGCTGAGCAAACTAAACACAGTTTGCTCTTGTTTCAATCTATTACTTGGTAACCAGAGACAAGGAACATTTGCAGACCACTAGGCTGTCTGATTCCAAAGCCTTCACAATGCATCTTAAATCACAATTGGGTGGTGTTATTTTTCATCACTTTTTTTAGACCTAATGGATAGCAAAGACTATATCATAGGCAAGTCTGTACACTATTTTATAGACAGAGAGTGTAGGCATCAACATTCAAGCCTCTCTCTTGATGTCTCCAATCTAGCCAATATTTATTAATGCAAAAATTATATATAAAATAAATTATTTGGGGGGTAAGCAATGATAAGCAAAATGCATAAAATAAGGAGAGCAAGCCAAGGAAATTTGGCATGTGATAAGTAAGTATCATCAGATCTACATCAGTGTTTTTCAAACTTAACAACTTGGGTAGACTTCAGCTCCCAGAATTCCTCAGCCAGCACTCTGCGAGTTGATGTCCACCCATCTTAAAACTGCCAAATTTAGAAAAGATTTATCTTAATGTACCAATACTATTTACCATGCCCCTCCTTGCCTTCTGATTCTTGCAAGCCATCTTCACCTCCACCACACTTATATACTGCTTTCCTGCCATCTCCCTCTCGAAGGAGATCTTGGTTAGTATCACTATATCTGCCTATCTTTAAACCCGTGTACAGATCATTAGACTGAAGTGCAGCACACAGTTCAGCCAGCCAATCGATCCTCTGACTCACTGGAAGAAGGAAGAATTGTCCATGGCTCTCCTGCTCCACACTCTTAACATCTGACTTACTGTGGATGGGTCTTGTACAGGGTCCCATCAATTCCAACCGTGGTTCGGAGCCTCGCCAGTTTCTTATTTTCACGAAGCCGTGTCAGGATTGCTGCTAAGGCCATGGCGCAGAGGTTGGCTGAGCGAAATGAAACAATTGTGCAAACGTGCTGGACAGCAATGCAATCCTCTTCGGAGGGATCCAGGCCCAGTTCCCTCAGAATTTCTTTCGTGTTGCTCAGGCCTTCTTTATTCCTGGTTCCCAACCAAGAAATTAGGAAAATGGCATTTCAGTTATGGGAAAGGATAAAGTGAGTTCTTAAAAGTTGAGGATGCAGACTGTGAATTACAAATTTAGAGCTCTAAAGCTAAAAGATTGTGGTTAAGAATACATTCATGGTTAGAGAAAATGACGAAAAAACATATAGAGTTTAAGCCAGAACTATCTTTGTTAGGCATAATTGTAGGAAATTATGAGAAAGAGTGTATATATTTAATTTTACATATATTAACTGCAGCAAGAATTGTATTCGCTCAACATTGGAAAAATGAAGAGCTACCAACGGAGGAAGAGTTAATTAAAAAAATCTTACAGTGTGCAGAAATGGATAGATTGACATTGAAAATGAAAGAGAAAGAAGACTCAGTTTATTTTAGAACATGGGACACCTTTTATCATTGGCTAGAAAAATGAGATAGAGAGAAAGGAACTTAATATGTATTAGCAAGCTAGATGTTGGAATCCAGACAATATGTTGCTGACAAAATATTAAGCATATAGGGGGGATTGACAGGCATGGATGATGGAAGGCAGGAACAGCATATAGATTGGCAGGTCAGGAGGGGAGGAGAACTGGAGAAGGGAAGTTTGACAGGAATAGGTTGGAAGGGGTATCCTGTAAGGAGCAGGAGAGAGCGATTGGAAAGCAGCAACGGCACGGGGAGGGAGAGGCCTGGCAAGGATGACAAGGGAAAAAAGTGCAGAATTGGAGTGCAAAAAAGAGAGGGCAGGACGACTAAGGCAATTACAGTCAATTAGGAAGAATGGCCCTATCACACGGGCTATGAGTAAGCAGTTAGATCAACAAGGGTATAAAAAGAACCTCCCCACCCCCTGAGCCTCACTCTGAGGATGCTGGCCAAGGACCAGCGAAAGCTAAGTTGTTTTTTAACTTTGTATATAACTGTTTTTATTGTTTTAAGTATTGTTTTAACAATAAACAACTGGTTTGTACCTCTCCCGGAGATCGCGAGTAAAGAATTAAATTGGGAGACTAAGATGGACCATTTCTGGCTTTTTTGCCTTCATCAGTTAGCCATACCCTTTATGGGATTCGAACCTGGGCAGTTATACATACTAGTCAGTGATTTAGTCACTGAGCCACAGGTTCTCTTCCCCTCTTTTGCCAGCAGAGTCAAGGGAGTAATTATAGGGAGTTCAGACAGATTG